AGCTTCAGCTTCTGGAGTATGAATTGCTTTGCTAGCTCCCAGTGCCTTCATGACATGGAGGCCAATCTCGTTCCGACCTCTTGGGTGGTTTCCTTTCACAGTTCTTCCAATGAAACGTTTCCCTATGAATTACTGTCTTTCCTTATCACAAAGGGTAGATTTCCACAACAATCGTGTGTGTTGCATTTCTCCAAACCATGTGCTGCAGCAGACCATCACCTTTGTCCAGGCAGGGAGGCACAAGGAGCCCTTTCCAGCAAGATCTGGTTACAGCCCTTCAGGGTTGCAAATGATTTCTTCTTCAGTTCTTGGTCTCAGCCCCAGGGATAGTGCTTAATCCTTTTATCTATAGTTCTTACACTCTTTTGATCTCTTGTCCTTTTTACTGAACAATTCCTTTTGCTCCAGTACTGTGTTATAGTTCATAACCACTTTATGTTTAATGTTTCCTCCCACATTGCAGGAGCTGGAAGCTGGCCAAAGTCCACATACTGTGGAAGCCTCCTGAGCTAGGACCTGGACCCAAGAAGCAGAATCTTTTTCTGCTGTAGTATCTCCCCATTCTTCTTCAATGACAAATCTTTGGTGCCAAAAGATGAAGAAAATCGTGGACACTTCCCATTTTAATTTCTCAGAGTTGGAAACAGTTGTGTATTTGGAAATTAGAGATGTTAAGGTGATAACCAGCAAAAACTGTATCTGTAGCAACAATGTTGAAGAGTCCTGACACACTGATGCATGGAATAGTGAGTAAGAATGAGAGCACATGCACTTATGTGCACAGCATGGGTGAGTCTCATAAGCAGAGCTGAATGAGAGATGCAGGCAGAAAGAACACTCTCTGGGTCATTCCATTATGTAAACTTCAAAACCCAGTAAAATGAGTGGTGGCCTTTAGATGAAGGAGACCAGCACCCTTTTGTGTATGTGTAACAGGGATGGTGGTCATGACAGACAAGATATCAGAGATGTGCGATGTTGTGGTTTGGGTGCAGGAGTCTTGAGGGTGTTCTACTTGTGAAAATATCTCATGCTAAACACTTACAACATATGTGCACTTTTCTGTAAGCATATGTGGGCACAGACGTATTCATTATAGATATATAAAAATTGACATACAATGGTCAATTATTTGCACTCCCACATTTTGGCACTGAGATAAGACATTAGAGTAATGTCGCTGGAGCAATTGAGCATGACCTGCCAACTGAGGAGATTTGTTCACAGTGCAGAAAGAGTAGTAGACCTTGAGTCTGAGACAAGATCAACCTGAGCCGTGCACCTGGTACAAATCTTTCCAAACTGGCACCTGATGCCAATGTTCTAGCACAAGATCAAGTGGGGCGACCTGGACTGAATGCTAAGAAGAAAATAAAAAAAGGATGGCAGCAATTGGCTTTGCATTGCTGTCCTCTTGTTCTTGTGGTGGCCATTCTGCTTGCAGGACATATCTTATGTTTGTCCTTCAAAGAACCCTTTTCTCCTTGAGTACTGCTGTGTACTTCCTTTTCTTCTTCATATTTTTGGCCTAAATAAATGTTAGTCTTTCCCATTGACCAATTATTCTGACCAGTTCGTTGAATGAATTAGACAGGAAGAGTCTAGAAAGGGCTGGTGGTACCTACAGCACCCAGCGCCAGCACCATTATTCACACTTGCCCAGAAGTGGAGGTATCATAAATGTTCATTGCTGGATGAAGAGTAAACCAAATATGGTTATGTGCTGTGCCTTGGTGATAGAATGATATGGCAAGTGAGTTCATCAAGGGAGACACAGTGAATATGCCATTCACTAGAAAACCAAAAAAGCAGGAATGAACAAAGCTTTATTAGCTGGCTGACAGACAATCTCTAAGCAGCATCCAGAGAAGATGTGTGTGCAAATCTGGGACTCACCTTCAGTTTAAGTACATTTTAG